TGTGTGTGTGTGTGTGTGTGTGTGTGTGTGTGTGTGTGTGTGTGTGTCCCGGCTATTAAAGCACTTGAGAATCAGAGAGGAAAGGACTTGCACCACTAATGGATGTGTCTATTGATGTTCCCATTCAACAGCACACTGTAAACGATAGGGCAATGATTGTGTTGAAGACGGAAGGAGGTGGAGGAGGAGTGGAGAGCGGTTTGGCTGGGCGATGATAATGACAAGGAAGGTTATTATTTGGCGCCCTGCGGAGTCTCTGCTTTGTGTGTGTGTGTGTGTGTGTGTGTGTGTGTGAGAGAGAGAGAGAGAGAGAAAGGCAGCCAATCTTCCTCCTTCTCTCTCGCTCCTGTCCCTCTCCCAGCCTATTGGCTATTATTCACTTCTCACTTTTTCTCCCCAGTCTGCTCCTCTCTCATGACATTACTCACTACTGCTCGTCTACATCCAATTGTGCCTGTCTCTCTCACATTCGCTTGCATTTGTTCGTTGTCAATGGCCCTGCCTTTTTTGTTAAATGGACAGTGCAAGTATCTTTTTTGATGGTAGATAAAATAGCAGAAAATGAAGTCAAAGACAGACTAATGCAGCGGAGCTGGCAAAAAAAGTTTTTCATTACAATGTTTTTAGGATAGCAGCTTGCCCTTGAGATATTGATTTACTCACCAATAGATTTTTTTCTTCCAGCTGTGTGTGTGTGTGTCCTGTCAGTTCCAATCAGCGCGTGTGTGATGAATATGAATACAGTCAGCCTGCCTGCAGGTTTGGCAGGAGACCACCTCCAGCTGCACTCAGACCCCTACTCAAGTGTGCCCGTGTGTGTTTTGCGTGCGTGGTTGTACACGTCAGCCTGCATCTGTCAGCGGCGTGACGACCTGAGGATGAAATAACTAAAAATATACATCATAATGCGCCGCTTGGCATACAATTCATCCAGAGCCTTTCGACAGAGAGGGAAGCATCCAGTTCAAGCACAAGTGGGAATCGAGCCCCTTGTTCTACCTAATTAGACATACAAAGAAGCTTTACAGATTCAAATGTATTGGAATTAAATGGGAATGTATGTTTGAAACAAGAATTGCTAGTTTTGATAAATCCTTGCAAATGTGAGGGAGTTTTATGTCCATGTTTTAGTGCACGTTCAATCCTGCCTTACTCACTTCCTTTTCCCCCATTACTTTAACCAGCGCCATTCTTTCCAGTCCAGCTTGTCTGTCCTAGTGTGTGTTTGTGTGTGTTTTCTTGTTCACTGCAAATTGTTTGTTAGAAGACTTGTAGTTAAAGTCAATATCTCTCTCTCTCTCTCTCTCTCTCTCTCTCTGTGTCTGTAATCGCAGGGCAGCAGATAAAGAGGGATATGCCATTCCAGCTGTGAGGAGACAGAAGAAGTCAACATACACACTCACACACACACACACACACACACACAGAGCCGCGGGCGCGTGAGCAGGTGAGCATTAAGTCAGGCAGCTAAACAGATCACGTCGCGGTATGATATCTGCAGACAGGCAGACAGAGCAGGCCGGTCTGTACCTGCAGGCAGAGAGCAACAACTCACAGCACACTCGCCAGGAATTTCCTCCCCCTCCTGAGAAGAGAGAGAGAGAGGGAGGGAGGGAGGGAGTGGGAGAGTGAAGGAGAGACAGACAGGCAGACATAAGCTGGAGTTTCGGCTGAAGTGTTTTACGCAAACCAAAGTAAAAGCCTGATTACAAACTGGCAGGCAAATATTAGATTTCAGATACCTTCTATGTGACAAGTTTTCATATTCAACCCAGTTCATGATGGGAAGAACTGCTTATCTTTGTACTTTCTCACCAAGCAAAGGTTTGCTTTTGCGTTCCTAAAATGATTGTTATGGAGTGATAATAATATTAGGCTACACCAAAGTGAGATAAACCCAATATGCACCCTCCTTTGGTGGCATTGTTAGCCCATCATTCTCCCTTCACCTCAGCTGATGAAAGGACATCTCTTTGTCTTTATTAAAGAAATGCAGATTCACACAGCATTGTAATATCGAGAACAGACGGTTCTTTTGTTGTTTTTCAGAGTAATTCGATCACCGTCAGTATGATTTGTCATTCTGGAATGACGAGGGTGTTTCGAAAGTGTCCGCCATACTAATGGATACTAACAGTATCCGTTACACAAACGTGTTCTGCTGCTAGTATTGTATTGTTAGCTCTCCTTGGAGAGGCTTTGACATTTTTATTTTTTTAAAGCTTTCATTCATTTACAATCTGCTCAGCATATGTGGCCGTTATCTGTGGTGTCAGGAATCACATTCAAAGTAATTACCTCTTTGGGGGAGGCCTGTTTCAGTTTTGGTTTTCTACTGAGCAGCATTTCTCTGAATTACTGTGGGTTATGCTGTTGCTCAAGAAAACCTTAACTATAGTTACTGAATAAGGGAGAGCTATCAAGGTCAAATCTCCTGCATAGATTTTCCTACTGCTTCCCTTCTCTTCCATATACCCTTGAATTGAAGTAATTTCACCCATTAGACAGATTGTCCACGTTCTGTCATCACTTATATTCTGTAGCTGAGGTTTTTTCTTTTCTTTTACAAAGCTCTTTATATTCAGGCATAGAAACGCCTCCTGAAATTTGTACAAGTCACAACTCTCCCCACACAAACTACCACATCCACTTATCTAAAAATGATTCAGTGGTTAAATGCCAGAGCTGTCTGTGCCATTAAGGCCAGCCTGTTTGAAGGAAGGACACCCTTGCATGCCCTCTCCCTCCTCCTTGCTGTCTCTTCGTATTCCTCTCACTCCTTCTTCTCTCCCTTAGCTGCCCCGCCATCCCTTCCGTCCCCTCCCTATCTTCTCCACCTCACACCCACCCAACCCAGGCTGGTTTGAGGGCTGATGTGCAGACCTTGTCATTCAAATTAGGGCCACATTGTCAGCTCAGGGCCCTTGTCTCTCTAGTTGCGTGTCTGGATCTTTCTTCCCACTGTCACCCTCGTCCTGCGGCCAGAGAAGACCTTATAAAGCAACATTACTTCTCATCCACTTCTGTCAATTCCAACTCTGTCACTCAAATCACTGTTCGCGAGAGTGGAGAGAGGCAGAGTTAGTGGTGTCCCTCGCAGCAAGGACTGTGCTTTTTGGCCCAAGCTTTGGGTGATGTGTCAACAGCTAGCAAACTGGATTTTGATTGAGGTATTTTCAGTTAGGATCATTTTTAGTTTTTTGCTCACAAATGTCGAGCTTTTCAGAGGACTGACAAAGTAGAAGCAGCTCTCGTGATCCAAAGGAGAGAAGAGAAGCAGCACACTCATTGCTGTCAGACATATAGTAGCAATTCAAGTCTTTAGAAATCTTCAGATTTAGTACTCAATGTGTTTTGCTTTATAGTAAAAGGCAATCAGAGTCATTATGTTATTTTTAACTCTGTTTTCTATATAAAATGACTGTTTGGCAGGGCATGAGGTATCCACCACATCATCTTAATCACTTAAGAAAAGAGTTTGAGAGCCGTATTTATCATCCAACCACATCTTGACTCACTGCCACAGTTTTATTGTCAAGTCGTATCTAATTGCTACAGCAGCTCTTTGGCATTTGATTTTTTCTGCTCACAAACTGCGGTTTTCTTTTTCTCATCATGAGCAACAATGATTCAGCAGTGTGTAACACAACCTTCGTAGAAGTTGGTGGACAGTTTCCTTACTGGTATTGGTGCAAGCAGAAGAAAAAACATCCTAGTCTTCAACCAAAGTGCCACATCATAGCGAAAAAAACAGACGTTATTGATCTGGATGAGTCGACAGTTTCATACCCGATACTCTTCTTCATCCTCTACTTTGCACGAAGCCCTCAAGGCATGTTGGGCCCTCTCTAGAGGCTGTGCCGCTGTGCTTCAATCCAGGCGACTAGCTGCAACCTCCGCCCAGGTGCTGCGTTAACTAAAAGCCCGCTATGAGTCAGGAGTTTCAAGATGACTTCCCTCTTCTAACTGCTACTTGCAGTGAAGTAAAATGTGTTCCCACACAGTGACACTGTATTTGGTGCCATAATGACCATGAGTCATGGAAGTTAATAGTGCATATAGCACTCGAGCCCATTGCAGTATTTAAGAAGAGGTGGGCCAAAGCCAGTTCTGCTTCTTTTTGATGCAAGGGTCTATGGTAGAGGTCAGCACAGGGGATGTAAATAAACTGCATTTTACACACACACACACATAGACATGAATCCCTTTTCATGTCTCTTATTCTCAGGTACAGTATGTGAATGGCCAACACCAGGTCCAAAGAATGAGGACAAAAAGCACTGTTAGATGTTCATGATGTATGCATGTGTATACATATATTTATCATCAAGTGTTGTAATATTCTATTTAGCGGTCTGTAGTTATCTAATAAGCTCGGATGGAAAAGATAGCATAATCAAAGTATGGTAAAACACAAATGACTTTTTCAGTGTCCTTCCTGCTCCGAGCATGACAGAGTGTTTGAGCGAGAGAGGGTGAGAGTTAGAAGCCTCCTGCCCACAGAGAAGACTTGCTCCCTCTGCATCTCTAAGCAGACTGTCATCCCTGGTCACCATCAGGTCTGTGGTCGCCCCAGTGAACATTCAACGCTGTCGGTGAGTTTCGGCTAAATTGAAAAAACCATCGACCGTTGATTGTGCCCTGTGGCCAGCCATTTTCACTCGGTGTCTCCAAAAAAGAAGGAAAAAGAGGTAAAACCCATGCAGAAACCTGCACACAGGCATGACCAATGACTTCTTGAAAAACCACATGAAGAGCACAGCATACATCCTTGACAAACGAAAACGAAAAATACTTTCAACTTCCAAACCCACAGCAAAGGTCACAATCAACATTCATTGCTGTCGGTGGGTTTAACTGTGTAGAAGAGCTCGCTGAACAATGAATGCAACTGTGTCCCAGATTTCATCCGAACGTCACAAGGAATAGCGTCACGATATGCTGATGATGGCATTATTTATTCTTCTGCCTGTCTCCCCCCCTTCGCATCTGCCCAAAAACAGGCACACACAGGCAGTGTGAATCGACTAGCAGTTCAGATTGCATTTCAATCACCCTTGCTGAGATGTAGGGGCTCGAGTCTGGCTTCAGAAGAGGAGAAAGAAGAATATAGATGCAAGGGATAGTTCAAAGAAAGTTACCTTTGAAGCATCTATGGTCTGATAAAAGATGTAGTTTCTGTAATGATTACCAAACAAATACACAGCAAAAATATGTTATATATGAATAGATGCTTTCTAAAATGATGGGTGGCCTTTTTCAAACTATTGTTCAAGATAACACTATCAGCTAAACCCCTCAGGTTTCATCTAAATATACTAGTAATAATCAGTTTGGTTGAACAGATACTTTAAACACTATCAAATGGTAAGTAATTTTACCATCAGCTGTTTATTTAATGTGAAATAAAATCTAAACTGCCTGCTATTTGTATTGTTGTATTTGATCAAATAAAGTCACTAGTTCAGTCTTCAATAATGTGGTGAGTCCTTTTTTACATCGTTCTTCTTTGGTTTGGTTGGAGGAGATGTCAGAGCCAGCCCGTGGCATATAGGTGAATTGGACTGTTTTTACACTTTTAATAGTGTATCATCATGTCAAAAAGACGAAAGCCCTCTCGGGCCCAGCGAAGAAAAAGAAGAAGAGAAGAGGTGGAAAAGTGGGAAAAAGACAGGTAATGTGATGAATGAATAGTTTTTTTCTTTTTGGACCAGAGTGCTACGAGCTTATTTTGGACGATAGTAGGCTAACGTTTGCTTACTCCAACCTTAAATCCATTAGGGACAGTTGGCAAGACTATTCAGGTGTTTGGGTAATAACCTACAGCATCATTTTGAGCTATGGCCTACATGTTTTCTTTTAAGTGTGATCTGTATAATCTCAAAGACGCAAAGCTATGCAGTCTCTGAGTGTATGAACACAATGATTGGTGGTGAAATTGGCTGCATGCGAGGGGAACCAGCTAAAATCTTGACCTACTTGATAAAAGCCTTGAAACAATATGAATATCAAAATATGCATCTTTTATAAATCTTCTAAAAACTTTTATATCCAAAGTTTTCATAGGCGGACATTTCACACAGACACCTTGAAAGAACGTTACATGTACCTACTAATATATGATGGAATGTTGGTTCAGGCCATCACATTGATTAAGAAACGTACACAAAGAATGAAGGAGAAAATGTGTGCATAAAGGTAATAACAATATTTTTAATTATAATAAATAATAGTATGCCATCAAAAATTATAGTACGTCATAAAAAATGACATAGCAGAGTATGCCATCAAATATGTATATGTATGTATTAATACATATATAAATACCATAGAATAGTTTGTCACAAAAATATCACTACTACTATAAACTTTAGTATGCCCCGCAAAATGTCAAAGTATAGTGTGTCATGAAAAAAAATATTTCTATAATAGTATAGTATGTCATTAAAAGTGTCATAATATGTAACAGTATAGTATGCCATAAAATATGCCTTTGTAGTACATATAAAGGCATAGAAATATCAGTCTCGTATACCATAAAAATGTATGTCACACAAATGTCATGAACATCTAATAGTATAGCATATGTGATTTAATTATTATGTATTCATTTCTTTTTTTAAGTCATAGTATCCACTTTCTTAAAAAGTCACATTAAAGTATGCCATAAAGAAATGTGTCAGGACATTCTGATGTAGCATTTCAAAATTAAAGCCCTTCAAAATCGCATTCATGCGCTAACTTCAAATCACATTCATGAGACAATTTGTCTAATTTCAGATTAGATTTTAGAGGACATGGTGCATAGTTACAAAATCATTTCACGACAGCCCAGAAAAATACTGCATCTCAACACGAGGGCCAAATCCCAATGTCCCTTCTTAAAGTCTGAAACCCTGATCCCTCAGGGTCTTAAGAAGTCACCTGTTCAATGGTCGAGTGCGAGGCTGTACTTGACATGGTGTAAATACATGTTATGTATTACTCCCCGATTTCAACGGCTGCAAGGCTTGCCTCACGAGATGAGAGGTAATTGTCAAATCTATTTTGTGTCAAAACAGCTTCAATAACAAAATGAAATGTTTGATGAATGAACTGTGTAATATAGTGCAAGTGGTCCTATACATTTTTGTCTGTAGGGATTATGTAACTTTTTATAGAAATGTCATATTTACACCTAACACACAATAAATAAATCACAGTGGATGAAGACCAGTTACTGCACGAAAGGAACAATTCTGGACTGAATGAAAAACACACGACTTCTTTTGTCCACTAGAGGGACACCCGAGAACAAGAGATGAACAGGAAAAAAGGATTCAACCAGTTCAGGTTTATGTCATAATATGTATTTTTCTTTTTACTAGATTTACACAAATCCAAAAAAACAGGTCAAGGAAGTACAGCAGTTAATGATCATAATGAAAAGAGAGCAATCCATAACATGTATGCATAAATGATGTACACATGAATGATACATGTATGTTTGACAAATAAAATTCAATGCAATTCATTTCATAATTAAAAGTAAATGTCACAGATCAGGTGTTTTACTCGCTGATTTCATGCTTTGATTTTCTTGAAACTGGGGATAAGGATGTAAAAAACGATATTTCTAAAACACAAAATTATGTTTTGAACAGTTAATATTGATGCATTTTGTGTGAAATAAAGAATATGTGCAGCCTCCAGATAATTGATCAAGTGCATTACCCTGGGGAGATGATAAATGATTTTGAAGCCCGCTGACCATGAACATAAATTGGTAGACCATGACATGACATGGGGAGACAATTTTTCAGAAAACTTCTATTTGGCATTGATTTAACTAAGTAACAACCTGATATAGATTATGTCATCAAATAACGTCTGTAACCCAATGATGTGTGACTAATACAAACTAGTTCTGCTACCAACTTGGCCAGTCTACCCATTTTAACATGGTAAGTGCTGCTGTACTACCGACAAACTTAACCATGCGGTTCTACAGAGCTCATTGTAATGACACATCTAAAAGAAATGTATACACACAGACAACTATCACTATTAGACACTATCATATCATTGGCTTTTAACAATAAAAGAAAATAGCACAACAAAATAAATGGAAAGCCAGCCATGTAAGCAAATATCACATTTTACACATTAAGTTTCTAAAACTATACACTATACACAAAATTATAATACTAAGAACCAGTTACCAGCCTCTGCTTACTTTCTAAATAACACCCTCCCAGCTTGTTTTGCTTTTTTTGTGACACAAGCTGATTTGATGATACTGAAAGGCCTTTGAATGTGTTGTGGAACAATTTGAATCCGTCTTTAGTGCCACAGAGAACCAAGTGTCTGTCTGGGAAGAATGTTTTTGGGAACTAACTTTATCATGCTTATTTGCTGTGACTTTTGAAAGACCTGCAGTCTACCAATTTTGATTGTGTTCATGTTCATCAATCCATATATTTTGCCATATTATTCCACCCTTAAGTTTTTTTGAGGAATCAATATTCGTGTCACATCTGGGCAGATGATTAAAAGCAATGTAATGAAGAAATCCATCTCCAAAGAAATCAGGCAGTTTTGATATTACCACGTTATAAAAAATGGATTTACTTTAAAATGGAAAAGAAGAAAGATGATCTTAATCCCTGAGTAATTTACACAGTTCATTTATAGCAGAAAGACAATTACACTGCGGGTAACAGCTCCAGAGAGCTGGATTTTGTAAACCCCACCTAGTGCAACAAAGAAGAATTACTTTGTAACCCTGAACTAGTGGTATGACCTCCTTTGTGCTGCTGTTCATACCCCCCTCCAGTGGGAGTCACTACTGTCTGATGTCTGCCGGTCTGAGCTGTCTCTCACCCTCAGCCAGAAAGATCTGCATGGCCCGGTAGAGCAGGTGGACGCCGAGGTCCCGCTTCTTCTTCACCTGCCAGTTGGACACCACGCCATAGAAATCCCCTCGCTTCTGATTGGTGAGCATCTTCAATCCTGGGACAATTAAAGAATCAAAAAGGTTATTGACATGCTGCACCGGTGTAATTCTATGTCAGAGTTAGTGGTTTTATTTGTGTTCGTTTTTGGATTTTCCTTAAATCCCACTTTCATTTTTACAGAATGTTTTCTTCTATTTCATTTATGAGTCATACATGCAAGGGTATATGTATTGTTGGTGCTGATTTTGGTGTTGACAATTTCAAAAATAAATCATACACTGATAAAAATGGGGTACAGCAAAACGATTAAAGATCTATTAAAGATGCTGTAAGATAAAACCCAATAAAACCAAGGTTGTGGTTGTTGTACGGAAGGTACGATTGCATATGTTTGATTTCTAAAAAATTGGGAAAATTACACTATAGTGAGATTATAAGCAACTTGCAATTTTTCAAAAAGAAAACAAGGCAGAACGTGTAACATATAACCATTAGCATTTTAGAAACACAGTTGACAGGTTATTAAATAGTTAATTTGTCAAATTAATCCCATTGACCTAATTTTTGGCAACTGCACACAACAAATCTACAAACAGAAGCTGTCATGGGAATTTAAAAAGTGAGTATACATATTCTTGTTTCATGGATTTGGCTGAACGTTCTCATTAAAAAAAAGGCATTGACGGGGTGATTTAGGACCCTGATACAAAGCAGATGGAGAAAGTATTGAAACAGGAATTTTCCATTAGATTAAATGGCTGTTTGCTACTTAACAGAGATAATTGGTGATGAGTTTCATCCCTTGTTGTACTCACCGATGGCCTCCACCATGCAGGCCTCTCTTGTGAAAGCCTCCACTGGAATGACATTCTGGAAACAATGCAGAGAGATGACGCCCTGCTCGGCATTCCACACCTGAAGGATATGCTGCACTTTGGTGCACAATTTCTGTCAAACAGAGAAGGGACAGTATTTTATAGACATATTCTATTTATTTAATTCATTTAAATCTGATCAAGACTGATCAGTGTGTGCTGCCTCACCTTGGAAGTCTTGTCTCCTTTGAAGTACTCTAAAGCCTCATACAGGTGGCTGTAGGGCCGGGAGCGTTTCCCTTTGCCCACGTAAAATATAGCGTGGATAAATGTCTGGAAACACTCCTGTGGAGTCATGGTGTGACTGCGGAACGGGAGGTTTTTCGTCACTCTGGCGGAGAAAAAAAAAAAAAAAAAGAGATCCATTTTATTGTACTTTGAGGGTGAAAAGTGTTTATCTGTGTTAAAGAGAAGTGGTGGTTAAAACATAAATGAGGAAACAAGCTATTCCTAAAGATACACTGGGAATTAAACATTGCTTAAAGTGTAGTGTTAGCTCTGTTTACCTTATGAAAAGTGATATGATAATGTAGCCTGAACACATAAATGGAGATGAGTTTATACTGCTCTCACAACTGAGAAACTGTTGATTTGGCAAATGTTTTGCCTGATTTTTCAGCTTTTTTTTTTTTAAACATCCCAGTGACATTTATGATAAATGACAACGGACAAAGCTAGGTACTTTCTCTGATTATGGGACAAAAAAAATGTAAATTGCTTTTCATACACAAGAGAGCCTCGTGTTCTGATTACAAGCACTGGGTTGTAGAAATGATTTCCATGCAAAATAAGAATGGCATCATCTCATCACTTCATGCTAAATATCTATCCTCAGAGAGCCGCCTGGAAAGAAAGACACAAATCAAGAGCCAGCAGACCTCGGGTCGAGCAGCAGGTAGTTGAAACTGGACTTGATGATGCCCTCCCTCCACTTCCTGTTTTGATCCGGTTGGTCAAACTGCTGGCACAAAGCTTGCTCGTCAGCCTTGCAATCAGGCAGCTCGAAGGTCCGCAGGGCCCGACACAATTCTGGACTATAACCTAAATCTACAGAAATTAAATAATAGAACATAAGAAAATGACTTGTGTCAGTGACATGGTTGATAAGCTAAATGATAATAATTGTATCAGTATAGCTCATTAAGAAATACGTTTTTCACAGGACAAACATTTAAATAGAAGCATAATTCTGAATATACATTTCAAAAACATTTTTTAATCCATTTATCTCCTCACACACTTCCCATCTCAGCCCCAAAACTGCTCACAATCTAACACGATCATTACCTAGTCATAGCACAGGTTAGGTAAGTAGTAATCAAGGACTTTAAAAGACGAGCACAAGCCTTACCCGTTTGTGGCTGGTCTAACTGCCTCTGGGGATGTGGCGATTGGGAGTTTGACTCCTGCAACAGGCAACACAGCCGCCGCATGTAAACGGGCCTGGTACGGCGGCCGATAGGGCCCGGGCTCTCCCCCAGCTCTAGCAGCCTCAATCTCAGCTCCTTGTCCGTCATCCCTTTTGTCTCTGCCAACAGCCTGTCCTCGGCATTTTCCTCCTTCTGTGGCACCATCTGGGGCGTCTGGTTCTCCTTTCCGCCGTCGACCGTGTCACTCTGCATGGAGCGCCAATCATAGAGGACGGTCTCCTCGCCGCCGCTACTAGTACTCATGCTGGAGCTGAGCGAGGTGTTTGCTGTAGGCGGGACGTGGGTCTCGATCAGCTTGTGGCCCTGTTCCGAATCGGTGTAGAGGTACTCCACCGGTTCGTCCGGGTCGTGAATGAGCGGACGCCCTCCGGGGGTGTAAGACAGGTTAGCCAGGTGCTGAGGCCTGCGGCAGCTCGACAGTCGGCTCATGCTGTACCTGGGGGTGCATCCGGTGCCTGGAGTGCAAGGTAGGTCGGAATCTTCCCTGGACTTCCGTGGGGAAAAATAGGTGGAGCTGGATGAAGATGAGCTGCAGTCCTCAGTGATCCAGACATCTTCTTTTTTTAGGCTATCTAATTTGTCCTCACAGGGAGCATCATTTACGTGATTCTTTGTTGTTGCCTCATCTGTGCTTGTCAGATCATCGGTCAGTACATCCCTGCCTTCAGCAAGATCATGGCCTTGCATGGCCAGTATCACCTCTGCAAGGTTTCTTTCATAAGCATCCATTGAAGAGTCCTGGTTTTCCTCCAGTATGACTGTGTCGGACAAAGTCTGCGATTGAGAGGCAGAGTCCGTTACGCTGTTGGAGAGGACGAGCGTGTCAGCTTGGCTATCGCTAACACTTGAACCAGCTCCGAGGGTGCTGGACTGTGTGTCCGTGCAATCAGCAGAAAACTTGACTCCTCCTACCGCGTCGTTCCCCGAATAGGACGGCGTATAACAATGTGCATGTGGTGAACTGTAAAGGTCTGCACGGCTCTGAGTTCTGGGCGTCTGGCGGCGTGTTCGGACTGGTGTGGGGAGGGTCACTTCAAACAAAGAAGACGCGATGTGGAGGCTCTCGGAGGGTCTGCTCGTTCTCAGTGAGCAGCGACTCAACCTCGAGCGAGTCCTGCCTGTTACAAAAGGACTTAGTGTGACTGCAAGGTCGACGTTTTCCTGTAGCGCCTCGGCTGCATCATTCAACGGGGTGTCTGCCACCGGCTGACCAACGCCACACTCACTTGAAGTGTCAAGAACAGGCCTACTACAAGGTTCAAACAAGTCATCGTTTGGGTGTGCTTCAGACAACACCAGTTGATCACACATACCTTGTACATGCACTTTAGTTTCAAGTTTTGAATCCATCTGGGGTTCTGTTTGAACAGGTGGTAGATTCAAGTCTTGCCCTGCAAATTTAGAATCAGAGTCTGTAGAAATCGGAATCTTTTCGTTGGATTCAGCCGCAAGAGAACCCCCCTTTAGTAAAAGATGTCTGGGGTGTACAGAAGCATCCAGTGTACTGGTGTAATGGTCGCTCTCACAGCTACTGTAATGACTACTACCAGACCCACTGCTGCTCACGTCAACATGGGAAAGGACTGGCTGTTCTGGTATATTCCCCTGAGCCTCTTTCACACATTCACCCTCCTGTTCATCATCACTCTCTGTCAAAGCACAGTGACTGACGACCGTTTTCTCCATGTCCTCCTCTGTGCTTTCACTGCTCTCCCTGCAAAAAACATAAACGTGATCTGGCGATGTGACGTCGATGCCCTGCTTGTGTAAAACGGTGGCCATGCGTTCTGAATCCAGGAAGTCAGAGTACTCGCACATGTCAAAAGGTAAGTCGCTGGTGCACGGGCTGCCATCAACACCGGGCGGCTGTGTGGGAGATTCAGAATTAAAAACAGGGAAATATTCATCGACATTTCTGAAGCTCACGCTCTTGCGACTCGCTCGCAGCAAGTGAAATGATGGGAGAGTGTCTCTTCTAGAGGGGGAGATTCTGCAATCGGTTGCAGCTGCAGGTCCCACTGCAGACATGCGAGTGCTCGATAGTATGGAGGGACCTTCAGATGCACAATGTGAGGCGGCATTGTTCCAGTACTGGCTGTTATGCCTCTTAGTGTCCATGTCACAAAGCCCGTTATATGACATTCCTCTGCAATCTGGCCTTCCGTTAATGTTAGATAGGTTGAAAAATGATGAGCGCCTTGTGCTGCTCAATGGGGCTTCACCAAAGTCACTTATCATAGAAGAGTGGGAACTGAAGCTGCTGTCTGATTCAGGATAGCTGGACGTGTCCGTTTGGTCTGAATACACAGCTATGGAGAAAATACAGAAACCTAAATTAACACGGTTTCCTACAAAAGGTAAAATATTACTACCAGCCAGCCAAATTCTTGAAACTGTTTTGCAGCAACTCCTGTTTATAAACTGGAGGAAGGTTTGGCAGATAGCCATGTATACATTTGTTTATTTGACTGGAAAATAATGAGTGCTCGTGGCAAATTTTGGAGTAAATTAGGAACTGATGACAAGTATTGACTATATATATATATATATATATATATACATACATACATACTGTATATAGTCAATACTGTGTGTGTGTGTCTTTACATTTCAAGGGATTTGGGAAGTAAACACTTGAGATTGTTGTGCAATCACTGTAATTATTGTAGCATTACTATGTTATGACAATCCGCTTGAAGCTGACGTTAAACACTTGACCGGCTGAATACATATTACTGCAAAATACTATTACTATAATATCTCTGTTCATAACACTACTGGATATGTATCGTTTTCTTCACGTTTATGAAATAACACAAGTTGGAAAAATTGACTTTGCAATTCAAGTGGTGCGTTTCAGATGAAGTGCTTTAAGTAACCCCTAACAAAACAAAGGCTTCAAAGAGACTTTCTTACAGTATTGGAATTGAGGTGACTCGTCTTCCTCCGTGTCCACCGAGCTAAACTGGTACTCCTGAAGGAGCTGGGCACATTTTCGATTCTCCTGTTGCTCTGCAAGCTGCCCTGGTGTATCCCCTTCCTAAATAAATTGAGGAGATAACAGGTGTAAACCAAACATTTAAAGCCATTATAATGAGATATCTTGTTACAGCGCAGGTGTGGCAGCATTTATGGAAAATGATTAATAACGCTAAAAACAAAGCTTACGTTATGTTTAATGTTTGGGTTCCCTCCATTCATCAAGAGCAGCTTCAGATTTTGATAACATCCCCACAGTGCAGCAATGTGAAGAGGAGTCAGGCCTTCTGATGACCTGGGAGAAGTACAAGAAATCACAACTTTACATTATGCTCAAAGATTTTTTAATAGTGGCTTGTGACAATATTTTATGTTTTAATGGAAAGTTACTGCAGGTTTTAAGTGATGCAAAAAGTCTGTGGAAGATAAATGGGTTCTGTAGTTACACAGGAAAATGATCTCACAAGGTGACATGGTGCTTTCTCTTGTCACTATTTATAACCACACCTGATATTGGGGTCCGCTCCATATTGCAGCAACATTTTCAAACAGCGCGTGTTCTTCTCAGTCTCTTTGCCAGCAGCCAAATGTATCGCAGCCACCCCTTTACTGCCCACCAGGTGGGGGCATGCACCTTGTGAAAGAAGCAGCAGCACAGCTCTGCCAACGAAGAGACATCTGTTACAATCTGGCATGCATTGTGGAATACAGCTTCATTGTATTGAAAAAGGGGGCATGCTATCCTGCTTAATGTTGCAGTCTGGATTAAGTCAATGTTAGTTTACCTCAGGTTGCTGGCTTTATGTGTACAACATATGATACACTATATCTTTAGAGCAGTCTTCAGGCTAGTGCATGAGTGAGACGTGTTAACGTTACAGTGCAAAAGGGTAACAACCTGAAAGTACATGTGGACATTATCATACACAAACTGCACCGTTTAAAGGAAACCGTGATCAGGAGCAGACCCACAGGAAACACGTTTCAGTTCAAGTTATGTGGTTTTGAGGACTTCACAGACCCCAAACACGTACTAAGGAAGTGATTACATTTAAGCAAGGACTGAAAAAACTTGTTTCGTTCATGAAATACTCAATTTGCTCCCACTATCAGGAAAATAACTAGGGTTACGTTAAGATCGTGTAAGACGGCTAGCTACGCAAATAAATGCGTGTACGATCTGTCGCGTCGCATCAACAAAAGGCATGTCTAGACAAAACAAAGAGAGAGGGAGCTGAACGTCACCTCGGTTCTCCATCCTTCACAGCTTTACACAGTTGACTTTCGAGCCTCCTCTTCTTTCGATCCATGACCAACGTTTATCCCAGTGTTAAATGTCTACGGTCGAGTATCTGCATATTCCGAATTAGCCCATCGTTGAGAGCCCATGCGGCAAGCTACGGATAACCTTTCATCGAGGCGAGCTAAGAATGCTACGACTGACTTGCAGAAACATATTCAACTGCACTCATTAAATTACGTTTGCATGTGCAGTTAGCCAACAGTCGTTGTGTTGTATCCTTAGTTGTGTAAGAGATGTACCGCTATTGTTTTGACCGGTTGTTTATCCAAGTAATCTTAGCTCTCGAGGAAAAGACGACTATTTTCGTTAAAATTCCCTCCAAGCACACAAACTCCTCCTTCTTTCTGGCAGCAGGCGGAAGTCCCGCCCTTTGCTTTCTCTGATTGGACAATGCTTTAATTTCACCTTTTATCTACTTATCAGAGCCAGTTCCTGTATGACTGCTTATCACCTCCTTCTACTTAAAGTTTGAATCAAATAAAAGTGTTTTTTTAAGATGACCTATTAAGCATATAATCTTAGATATACCCTAATTTCCAGTTAAAAATCACATGTTGCAGTTGTTTTATTCACTCTCAGTCAAAAGGTTCATGGCACAAATGTTTGCTACAGGGATTGTGCAAAGACATACTTTATGTTTTGGGCAAAATACTATGTTTATTTTTGGTTTGATTATCCCACAATAAATGTTGTGTCTTGTGTGTTCATTGCATACTTTTTTTATAAAGTTATGTTTTAGTAACAAGACACTCACAAGCCACCTAAAACTACACTATTTGCATAATAGCAATGGAAGGTGACATAAATGTGACCTATTACAATATGCTTATTATACACATATATATATATATATATATATATGCCTACAACAATGGCAATTGCCCTGTCAAGTTGGGTGATTGGGATGAGAAAATAAAAAGCTTACAGCACCTGGTATTCCCAGGCGGTCTCCCATCCAAGTACTGACCAGGCCCTACCCTGCTTAGCTTCCGAGATCAGACGAGATCGGGCGTGTTCAGGGTGGTATGGCCGTAAGCGAAGAAACTGTCTACCAAAGGGCCCTTTAAAGACACTCTAACAGCACTTTCTGCTATTCTGTCTTTGCAAAGAGGGAGCACCTATTGCCCGGAACACAAACAAACACTCTCGCTATGGTGAAAAAGCAATTGCCTTGATACCATACGCTGTCAATGTTACGTTAATACAGGCTGGATATACCAATTAAGGTTTTGTAAGAAAAAATTAAAAGCCTGACATCATAAAACATGACAAGAGAAAATGACGTGAAATAAAGACTGATAAAAGAATCACAGCAACCATTTTAATGGAGTGTTACAATTCATGCCTCTATGCAGTAATGACATACATGCTTTTCATAATCAATCAATCAATCAAAAGCTTTATTGTCATGTAAGCACAATAAAATCACGGTTGTGTTTGATTAACTGGTTGAGTTCATGACAAGGTTATCTGAACAAGAAGAAATACTTAAAATGTCAGTGATCTCAAAGTGCAACTATACAGCTATTAAATAGTACATAGAACATACAGTGTAAAGCAGTGATTCACAACTGACCCGTTTTCAGTGGGTCGCGGGCCTTTGCCTGACAATAAAAAGAAAAAAAAAAAAGTTGTGATTTTATTTTGAAGGGCATTTTTTATGCAGCGGAATTATTCCAGCATTTACGGTACTTGTTCAGCGGTGCAGGACAAACACCGACCAATGCGTTGTGAATTACATCACGTGATGAAGCTCAGCCAATCAAATATGAGTATTCTGACAAGTTTCCTGACTTGAGTGAGATATACACACACCGTGGGTACATCCCAAGTCTCTTAATTGCATCCCGTTTCCCTCACTTGTGTCCTTTCCTTGTGTCTTAGTCCCTCCCACCAGGGATGCATGGAGGAAACCATGCGAGGAGAGAGGAACGAGGAAATATTTTTTAAGAGACATGAGAAGTCCTTTCCTCAGTTGCATCACGTGAAGTGACGTCTGTTTCTGATGATGGTGCTGATGATCACAGCTGGATCAGCTGTCAGTCGGCTTTAACAGCTGGAGATACTTTTGATAAGTTTGTGTCTGTTCACATGATCACTGTACTTAATAACAGTAACTAATAATACTAATAACTAATAAAGACACATAGAGGTGTTTCTCTCTGTAGTCTGTTTACAAACTGTGTCCTGTGTTCTGTTTATAAGCACAGGATCCATTTGTACCGGCGGAATGCGATCATCTTATTTATGAATTATTTGCGTCTGTACGTTTTGAAATTCAGATTGTGACTTCGATATTAAATAACCCAGAATATGATTATTGTTTCTCTTAAATGATAAAACTCATCAAACCCGACAATCAGGAATGAACAGCCTCACGTGACTGAATGAAATGATGATAAATGATGTAATAAGTGTTTCGTCTCTCCAGCTCTCTCTCTCTCTCTCTCTCTCTCTCTCTCTCTCTCTCTCTATATATATATATATAAATCTTTCCAATAAATGTAGAAAGTTGTTTGTGGTCCTTTTGTTGTTCAGTCTACAATGAACATTTATTTAAACCAGATGTTGAATCAGAAACTAATCAAATATAAAGCTTGAGTTTAATCTGTGATCCGTCTTCACTGTTTACATGTTGAAAAAAATCTCATCAATCTGATCGGCTGCAGCGTCCAATCACATGACAGATGAACAATGAGGGGGCGTGTCGGCCGTTAAAAGACTTCCTGGAAGTCTGTTCTCGTGGGTCCTCGCTCATGGCTCCTCAGAGATCCCTCCTCTATCCTCGATCCTTGCTCCTCAGAGCTAAATAAGAGCTTTGGGACGGCCGTCAATATGGCGTCGCGGAACAACTTCCGGTTCAAGCGAGGATCAAGGAGCGAGGAAATGAGAATTAAGAGACTTGGGATGTACCCCGTGACACACGGGGAGAGACGAGGATAGAGACAGCAGAGCAGGACTGTTGAGCTGTGAGATGTGAAAGTCAAATCATAGGATGATTTCCAAAAGAGAGAAATATCCAGAGAGACCAGAGTCATTAGACTCTGACTGGACAGACTCATAGAGGTGAATTCTTCAAACACTAATTTCTCTTTTTAGTTGATGAGAAAAATATAATATCATGGCTTTTTCACTTCACCCTGAATGAACTGAATTTAAAGCTGCAGGGCAATTCAGTGAAAATTATTTTTCTAAAATGAATTTTGTTACGTAATTTATTTTTTAATCCAGCCCTTATTTTACTGGAAATGAGAGAACATTTATTTATGTATTTCTATGTATTATTTATAATCCATCCAGTTAAATTTGAAAAATGAGAATAATATTTGTTAAAATATAATTGATGTATACTTTCTTTATTTGATTTGACAGTTGTTTACAACAGAGAGACGTTACTACTACTAGACTTCTTGAATATAGATATACCCAAATTATATATATATATACATATATATATATATAAATTATATATATATATATATATATATATAATATATATATATATATATATATAATTTGGGTCGTGGGTCCCGGCTTGTCATTAAGGGGTGATGGTGGGTCCCGCAGCCAGAACAGTTGAGAACCAATGGTGTAAAGAACAACACTTTTTTAAATCAAATGTCAGATAGCACAGCTATTCAAAGGTCAGGACACATTTTCCATAGGCTGTCATCTCAGACAGAGCAGAGGGAGAGGAGAAGGAGGCTCATCAGGAGGAGCAGGAGGCTGGGGTGGATGGATCCAGCGTGGTCGGGTGGGGGCAGATCACAGTTCTCGTAGGGCTCCAGGCAGGCAGCATAAGCAATGACGTGGGCAATGTAGTTCTGCTCCTGGACCCCGTGGAAAAGATGTGACATGGGGCCTTTTGCAAAGATGGCTACATCTTCTATGCTGTGGGTCTCTGAGTCAAGAGGAACAGGAGCCTGCTGAAGATACTCATTAGTCGCTGAGGAAGAAAAGGACAAAGGAGCATTATAGTAGTTTTCTGGCACAAAACGACAATGAAATCCAATGCAGCTAAATGGCAAACTACTTAATCAGATCTTTGACACACAGCAAAAATGGAATATGATAAGTTTTACAGTTGTAGTATTCATTGCATACTGTATAATTGCATTATGTTGTAAAGGATCATTCCCAAAGTTAACAGTCTAAGGTAAATTAAAGTGTATGGCACCAAGTTTTTGGACTGACTGATTTCTTAATTATTATAGAATGATTATAAAGTTAAAGTTTTTCTAGAGCATTATACATTACCTGTTATGCTTATAATATAATAACAGTTATTGTTGGTTCTTCTGTTTTTTATTTGTTGCTGGAAAAAATTCTAAGCCATCTGCTGTGATCCCCCATCTCATCATGTTTTTGCAAACAATTAAAAATGTGCATTGCTGTTGTACAAAATACTACATGCTCACTGCAGAGAAACAATATTTGGTGTACAGTTCATAGGATACAGTTGATAAAGTTGTTACACTCGAGTTAATCGCTGTCCTTTTAAAAGAAACAACATTTCCTTGACGCTATAACACATTTTTTAAATATGAGTGGCATTTGTGTCACACCATAACTTGGCTCTTCGAGCCTCTACAATAGGTATGCTGTTACACCACAAGATGGAGCTACTAAATTACTTTGTCTCACTTACATGAAATTGTCTCATTCATATCGGGGCGTGCTCCTTCTCGGTATCCTGGTCCATTTCCATACACAGCAGTAGTGAAGTGCTTTTTGTCGTCTGCTAATATGCGAGACACTCCTGTAAATCACAGGACAAATTGGTATCTACAGGTTTGTTCACTTCTGGAAAGCAGATGTTTTTCATTTTTTTATTATAAAACCTCCTTTACCTCAGCTCTTATCAAATTCTAAGAGTGCACTTTACCTAAAACAGAGTTTCCTCTGGCAGAATATCCTCCAACGACAAAGACATGGGAGTGGTCAGCAGTGACCACAGACAGGGTGTCTAGCTCACTGGTGAGTTCAGCTGCTCGCCCGATCGCCCGGTCAAACTCAACAGTCTCATAGAGAGCGAATTTGGCCCTCCCTCCATGGTGACCATGGTCAATTCTTCCGCTTAAAGTCCAAAAGAAAGCAATTCTCAAATAAGCATCAGCAGAATATCCCTCATATTAGTGATCTGTTTTGTTTTTTGAAATCCCATTGATGTACCTCGTATTTACTGCAACATAACTTCAAAAGTATATGTTTTAAACCTAATATATCTTCTATTGGAAGGGTGGGCGAGGTTTTAGCTTTCAATGGTTTTGAGCTTAGTGTGTTTATCTTTTAACAGTTCATTTATAATATGTATTAAATATGGATAGAAAACAATAACACTTATCTTCTACAAAGAGGTAAAATCCCTTTGGGTTCTTGCTGAGAATCTTAATTGCTTTCTCCATCATCTCCGTAAGGGAGGGGTCCATGGATGCATCACGCTCCAACTCGTAGCGGCAGTCTTTGGGCTCAAAGAGACCTAAATCCAGAAAAAACAAGTTTGAAGAACTCAGAAACACATTCCTAATTTTTCTAATAGAGCTGGCAGTGTTAGCGCCACGATATGATTAAATGTGCATTCATTGAGTTTTTCTGAAAAACAAACAAAAACAACTTGTGTTATGGCTCTAAATTGCAATTAAACTGAGATTGTAAAATAGAAGATGATTTTTAATCAAAACCCTGAACCAATTTGTCCAAGGACAGCTCAGGCAAACCTTTAGTGGTTTTATTGAAAAGTGTCTTCAATGATTAATTGATTGTGAATGAAATTGTACTTCTTACCTATCAGGAAGTCTGTATTTGCAGGATTGATGGCATCAAATTCAGCTTTGTTCCAAACATATTTAGCATTCTGGAGGTAATGAATAAAAACAAAGACATTAATTGGAAGTTTCTGGAAGGGTTGGGGGAGGAAACTTTTTTTTTAACAACTCTATAGCGAAAAATGTAGTTGCAGCCAGAGGGACAATTTACCGTTTTGTTCTTTAACCACTCTGTAACAAGATTTTGTCCATCATTTCGGTCTCCTCTATCAGTTGGATACTCAGGGTCTGGCGTGGTTCTCGAAAACATGTACTGACGACCTCCACCAAGAATGACCTGGAATCAAATGACACAGTGACAGTTATAGGCCTATATGTCATACTTTGCATTTTAAGCTTTTAGCAGATTCTCTAATCCAGAGTGATATTCCAACTATAAGCCTTACTATCTCGTTGGTTTTCTCTACATGCGTTTTCCAAACAACCAGAACTAGACTTGCTGTTTGGTCTTGGCTGATCTGACAGGTGTCATTTTCTGACTAGAGAGCTATATGCATAGCCATGGATATGAATTCTATTGAGTCGCTGCTCTGATGTTCTGCTTCGGAATTACCTTTATATTAAGACTTACATCTATCTCTATGTTATGAACCAGCTGGTAGGCAACGTCACGGCAGCCATTTTGGATTGCCTCAGGGGTGAGGTCGGAGTCAGAATACCAGCTTCGGTCGGCAGTGTGAGCGTAGTTTGCACCAGGAGAGGCGTGCTGCACTCTGGTTGTAGTGACAATTCCCACAGACTTTCCTGCAAAAACACAGAGCAGCTGTGGTCAACATTTTTTTCATGCCGTAAATATTGATATAGATATATATTTACACTTATGAGATGTTATTTACCACCAAAAAAAAGATCACACCACAGTGAATACAGATGTTATCCATATAAGGTTAGGTCACAAGGACAGATGTTGTGAGTGACAGCGGCCTTACATCCTCTTAACATGTACAAACCAGCAAAAACGTATATGTACAGAGTAATACTGACCTGTCTGACTAAATGTCCTTAGTGAATAACACATCAACAAAGACTCAACCTAACAGTATGAGAGCATGAAACCAGTATAAAGTAAAGCTGTGTGAAGCATGATCCTACCTGCTTTCTTGGCACGGTTCAAAACCGATGTGACTTCGTTCCCATAGGCAGCGCTACAGTTGCCCCTTGGGGTGGCGGCAGTGACACCCAGGGTGCCGGAATTGGCCTTTACACCACACAAGTAAGCTGTGGCTGTGCCAGCGCTGTCTGGCATCTGCTGGTCCACATTGTACGTCTGCAAGGGTCAAATAGATTCACACAAATGAACGTGAGTATTTATCATCTCAGGCATTTAGCAAGTGCTCTTAACCACTCAGATTACATCCTTTCGACTAGGTGGGCATGTACATGTACCCTCAACTCAAACAAGCAATACCCTTAAGTTTAGGAACATTAATAACTGCAATTGAGTTACTGTCTTTGAAATAAAACACCTGGCATTTGGAGTTTAAGTTATTTTGCCTAAACTCAATTCAGTGCTTTCACCATATATTGCGTCCATGGAAGACACATGTTATCTTCATATTGTCATGCTGACAACACTGCATGTCAGGCATTCATTGGCATTTCATGAATTTTGATGAAATTGTGTTAGCCAGTGTTACAGGCCAAGAGTCAGACCCAAGACATACTGATAACAGGCTGCTTGTGTCACCATGACATGATTATAATAACAGCCTTGCCAACCTCAAAATACAGCCTGTTCACATTCAAACTAAAATCTTTCCCCACATTCAGCAAAAGAGGCAAAACCTATAATTGGCTTGTTAGTGTGGTATGAATGTAGCCTTCTGTAGTCTGTTATGTTGATTTCTAATTTTTCACCACAAGTGCATGCATCTTATCCTCATTCAGAAAGTTGAAACACACATAGAAGTCTGAATGCGTCAGGGAGAGTGGGCTGACCTTAGACAGCGCCAGGTGAGGAAAGGTATCCATAACCAGACTGGTCTCCTCCCCAGATTCCCCTGCCAACTGGCCTTTGAGGATCCTGGCAGCAGTCACTGTCGTTACTCCCATACCTGGAAATAGGTGGAGACACACCTGAGTGTTAAAGAACAGGCCGGGCAGGCACAGGGCTGCCATTGTGCACCCTGAACCTCATAAGGCTCAGCTGATGTTAGAGTTTAAAAGGTGATGAAAGACATCTAAGTTATTTGCAATCACAAATGGTTGAGAATATGCAAAGCAAAAACAGCAATATTCCACATTTTTACTCCTTTACAAACTTGATTATACTTTTTTATATATTTCATGAAAAATCCAGGGCATCCGGTCCAACATTTGTTGCCAGAGCTTGGCAATCTTTAGGAATTTTTAGTCAAGCTAAATTCCTTCTGCATCTAATGTTACGACCAACATTTGCTAAAACAAATAACCTATTTTTCTCTTAGTCTATACTTTCCCAGGAGGTCATTATGTTTATCAAGTTGACCATCAGATTAAACAATTCTTTGTATCGTATTTCATCATAGATCTGCAAAATGCTTAATAAAATGAACTGTCAGTTGCTAAAGTCCCAAGTCATTAACGGCACAACTTGTTTTCACAGGCATGTCACTTATGAGGTGATTAAATGTCACTGATCAATCCCAAACACTGATAAAATCTTAAATATGCTGTTGTCAGCAGATATGTGGGTTGGGGTAGAGGCAGCTGTAACCATAAATCCATAATTGATCAATTCAAATTGTGCAGGGAATCTGACAGATTCTGATCTTTGATCATGGAGTTAACCAAAGCAAGTACACAGCAGTGATTCCTTTGTCTGTGTGTGTCATAATACATCTTATATCAGTAATCCTACCAGTTCAGAGATTTAAGTACTAAAGGGGAGTTGGATCTAATTTAATAGGCGAGTTTCTAAAATGCTAGCTATGCATGGAACAGTTTTCTCAACCTGTTGCAGCGATTTACCTTTGTTGGTGTTCAGATCAGTTAAGGACACATGTGGAAATAGCTAGACATGCAGTGTAGACTGTGGTTTAGCTTCAGTTTATTTTGCTACGCTTTGCTTTCCAAGCAGTAATAACTACTGGTGATCAGATGTCAACATTCATCTCCTTGCTCTTTGGGGTCATATAGTGCATTTGGTTTGCATTGAATTCTCTCTCTACCATGGGGAAGTACACCATAATAATGGCGAGACTCACACTTCTGAAAGGAACTGAAAGGAAAAATGCTCTACAAATGAAAGAAACAGCTTTAATGCTGGGAAAAGACTCACCATCCCCCAGGAAGAGGATGATGTTCTTGGCTTGATGAATATTAGGCTGAACATTCAGGGCATTGTGAAGAGCCTGTCTCGCTTTGTTGTTCCAGTAGCTGGCATGGAGCTCTTCCTCTAAAAGCAAGAAAAGACAATATAGTGTTAAACACAATCACAAGTGACTTAATTAAATGTGCTTTTCCATTTTAAATATATATATGGGCCATGCAGGTGATTTGTATTTTATTTGTGTCTGACTTGCAAGAACAGGTGTATGAAAATCAATTCTTACATCACGGTCATGAAAAAATAAGAAAAGTTTTTTCCCATGATCCCAAGATACCATTAAGATGAATGAGAATTAAAAACTAAGGCTGATTATGTGACCTTGCTCAGTCTTTGCTTTTTATAGACACACTCTATTATATATAAAATTGTTGTAACAAATGAATAAAATAACTATTATCATTCTTTAGCCCGTATAACTATTTACACTGTGTGCTCGAACAGACCATGTCTTTGTGTTGTCCTTGAAATCCAGTTGTATAAGGCTAACGTGACATCTGAGAGGGAACATTCTTAGTTTCTGAAGATACCTCATTTTAGTCTAACAGTAGCAATATGTAACAGTTCTTACCTGAAATGGACAAAGTCCAGTGCATTGAAATAGAAATCAATAATCCAGTAAAAATAAGTTTATGTTGGCTGGCCATGGTGTTGACTGTATGTGAATAAAAAAAAAGAGCACTGAAGTGCTTGTCCTTTATAGTTGCAGGCAAGGAGCAAAGGGCACATGGAGGAGCCTTTCAATGTGAGCCAGAAAATGGCCATGAGGTTTCATAATCATTGATCTAAACTGTGATCTAATGTTTCAGTTATCTATTTTTATTGTTGCGTTTATGAGTTCGGGTCAGGTAACATAAAAGCACACGTTATGTTGAATGTTAACCTGAAGCAGCTTTACTCAACATCGTTTTATAGCCACTATAAATATTCATGTGATGATAATAATTATAGTGTTTATGGTACTAAAGTGGTGGCTGGTGGAAAATGTTCTAGGTAGGGCTGTGCCACATCCAATCAATTTCAGCAAACATCCCACAATGATTTAATGCAAAAAAATGAAGGTATCAAACACGCATTACTACTTTGCAGTTAAATATTTAACATTTATTCCAACAAAAAAGTAGTAAATAAAACTTTGATAAACATGTCAGGACATCTTATTTTTGTCACCCTCACAGGCAATTCAGTAGAATATATATATATATATATATATATATATATATATATATATATATATACACACAGTATATATATATCATATAATAATATTTAGTATAATATAAAACACACACATACATATGTATATATAAAATAAAATATAATATAATGTAACATGTTTATTTATTGAGATGCCCCTATGGACCTTGTTATATGAGGTAAAGATCAGGAGAAGTAAACATGAAGTGTAATTATGAATACTGATGTTAAATTAAGCTATGATGAGTTTTCACTGTTAATCTACCATCTCAATTACATGTTGATGCCTCCATGACCAAGTTAAGCAGATGAGACTGAGGACAACTATGTAGAAGAAAAGATGTTCACTTTGCCTAATATGTAGCTTGACAGAGTTCTCCATGTGTGTCCTGGTGTTCTCATGTTTCCTTACCTCCTCATCCCTCACTCCCTAACTGTCCGTGCTGGATCTGTCCCCGTTGTTTTAAAAAGCTAAATAAGTTATTAGCATGACGTCATCCAGCTAGCCAAACCTGTCTGGTGTACAGCTAGTAGAGAAGCTTCGCATGTACTGCTTCCCTTTCCCGCTAGTCTGCTGTCTGATTGTGAGGTCAGGCTGATCTGGGATCAGCTCTTTGGCCTGCAGAATCTACGCCAAAATGTTTCTCTCAAACGGGTCTTGAGGAGTAGTGCTCGTGCTGAGACATGGAGACATGCAGGAAAAGCATATATTTTGCGCAGATATCATAATTTACAAATATTACTGGGTACATTCCATTTTCACAAACACAAATGTTGACAATTTGTAAAATGTATTATTATTATAATTTAATTTTTTTTGTTACTCAAGGAGGGGTGCTCAAGGTGGGGCCACACCCCATGGCCCTCTATTGGCCAGCCGCCACTGTGGTACTATATTATGATATATTGCATTGCAATTCTACAATATACATCTTATATTAACATATAGGCCTCTGTTTTTTAACAGATTAACCATTTGTTTATAATACTAATAATAAGGAATTTAATTTATATAGCAAACTTTAAAATACAACCAAATATCACATGCTTCACACACAGGGTAAAAACAAATATAGCACATTAAAACTGATCAATTTACAAAAAAGAAATATGCATTTATAAAGAATGAAATGAAATCATTAACAAAATATTTCAAGACTCAAGTTGAAATGTAAACAAAATTCATAAAAAAAAAATTAAAAAGTAAACTCATATGAGTCAGGACACTAGGGAAGGCAGAGAGGATCATGTGATTCGATAGACTGTATATAAGAAGTGGACGCAGTCACCCATTGGTTTGTGGACTGCCGTTTTGAAGCCTTGAGTTCAGCATTTCGGGCATTGCCATCTTAGATTTCGGCCGTCACTATCTTGGCTTTTTGCAACCAGTGAACTAAAGTGACCATATTTGCACTGCAGAGGAGTGGCGTACAGTCGCCGTATTGGTTGTAGACACCTGTCAATCACAAGGTAGCCCGCCCTAAAGCATAACCTGCTTTATTGTCCATTTTTACTCTAGATTAGATTTAAAAACAGTGAGTCTGAGGCCCTAATTGTTCCTGGGAGCTGATTCCACAAGCAAGGCCTGTGATGGCTAATTTCCACTAGGACTTATCTATCTGTTTTTATTGTCTGACCACTCAGTGTTTTGGCTCTTTTTGTGTTGACAAAGTTAATCAATGTCAGACATGGTCAGTGAGGGTCCACTTAAGTTGAGTAGTATTGTGTGTGTGTGTGTGTGTGTGTGTGTGTGTGTGTGTGTGTGTGTGGGTGTGGGGCTTAATCAAGGACATGATATTGTCAACTTAGATAAGAGCTGAATGTGGGTGCAGCCATTTAACCTTTCAATGGTCAATCAAAGAATGGTCGTCCAAATGTCCTAGTGATGAACTCCTCCTACCCCACCATGTGCTCAAGGCAACCAACACTCTGGGTGCCTTCCTCCTTCAGACCGCATTTCGGTCTGTATGACGATTGAACCTTCTCTGTGCAGAGAATAGATACTTTTAAGACAAACTTCTTTTCTCAATTTCAATAGGACTCACTCGGTACTATTGAATAGTTTTTTCTACCACAGGCCCCAGCAACAAGAAGGCACATCTCACATGCTTGTCAGCTGCGGCATTGCTTTGGACATATTGTAACCTCTGAATAGTTTTGGTTGGTAGGCCTGGTCAGGAAGATCTGAAGTCAGACCGGGAGGTTTTCATATAGAGCTTCATAGGTAGTTGGAGAGAACCGCAGCAGACAGGGGCCTGTTTATTATATAGGTTGCCATGGGGGCAATAGCTTCAAAGCACGCCTTCAATTGTGAAGTGGGATGTTAGAATGACCTCGAGTGTCTCCAAATGGCCGAAGCCATGAAAGTCGCTTCAATATAACATTATTTTCTCTACTGTTGTTATAGTGTGGCATAATTACAGGAAGCGTAAATGCGTAAAATGCACTGAACTCTCCTGTTTATTGCTGTATTTTGTTGATGCCATGAGAATGGTCATGTTCATATATTTATATTTTAGCAATTTGTTGAATTGGAGAAAGGACTCGCCAAGAACAAGTTGAAATGCTTATTTAAGTAACAGTTGCAAAGCAGTATAAAAATACATTGACAAAAATATTTGCTTACAAAATACATTCATGTACAATCCAAATAGATTACATATCAAGTGATCCAGCAGAAACCAGATTTACTATTTGGAAACCAATGAGGTCAAGATACAAACTTGATAAAAAACTGAAAAGTTACATATTTTTCACTCCTGAAAGAGGTACAGCATCTTCATGAGTTCTTGTAAAGTCTGTTGGTGTTGCAGCTTGGCATGGCACGATGGCTCGTGGTTCAGGTTTCTGTTACCATCATATAGTCATTTATTCCTTCCGGACAATGACGATCATGTACATCAGCAGCTGTGTGTCTAAATGTCCACAAGATGAACAGTGAGCCCTCCGCCTGCTTGCTTGTTTCAAGTTATTCTGGGTAAAGCCTCACATTAATACTGCCTGTAAATAGAAAATTACAGCTCCTTGCAAGTGTTAACTAGCTCTGAGCGAGCACAGTGCTCACAAAGTATGTATTTAATGTTGGAAAACAAGAAGAGTATACAAATCAAGCTAACTAATGAAAGAAATAGTTAGTGCAAGTTAGTAGTCATGTTCCAAGTATAGGCTTGAAATAGTCCTTATGAAGTAAATGCAGCTGGCTCTGCAATGACAAAAGTTGCATGAAGTGTTTCTTATAGAGCCACCTTCGTGAAAATGAACGTTTGCATATTTGTCTATGTTCTAGCCTGCAGTGCCTGCCTGTTTGTATGTTTGTATTTGAATAAAAGCTACTACATGCATGTTAAAGCCTGCATTTTGGATTCACTTGAGGTTACAACTCATGTGAATACACTGGGAATACACTGGGTGATCACGATGTATGTGAGTATTTCTGTTAACACATACAGTACTGTATTTGTCTATCCCTGTGTCCTGACTTGCCAGCCTGTGTGCATACAGTGATTGTGTGTGCTTGTACTCAATAAATGTTAAGTGCATCAAGTGTCTGTATTGCTGTATGCATACAATGTATTTGTGTAAGTGTTTATGTTGATGTGTGTGTGTTCGGTGGTCATCTGAGTAACCAGAGGAGGCTAAGCAGGCCAAATAGATGGCTCGGGGTTGTGTTCACACACCCGCTCGAGGTGCGGCTGTGGGGGTGAGGAGGGCAGTTCTTGTAGGGCTCTAAGCAGGCAGCGTAGGCCATGACATGTGCCACGTAGTTCTGCTCTTTTACCCCATGAATGAGGTGAGCCATTGGGCCTTTGGCGTAGATAGCCACATCCTCCCCGCCGTGCGTCTCAGCATCCAATGGGACGGCAGCCTGCTGCATGTACTCCTCATCGTCTGGAAAGAAACGTGTTATATGTAGAATGTAACCAAACACTGTTTTAGACAACTCTCTGCTTGGATCATCAACTGTTAATACAAAACAGATGCTGTTATAGACTATGTCACCGTAAATTAACCATGATGTCTGTCCAGATTAACTTCACTTTGACTGTGTCATATATCATCCACAGAGAGTACCTATAAGATTATTTTCACCTTATTGGCTGTTGCCAATGAAATTATGTTATGTTTTAAATTATGTTTTTTGCAAGTCTTCTGTAATTTACCTTATTCAATGTAATTATTTTCAACACTCTGAATATTATTAAATAATTTTGATGAAATGACGGCTTTTTTTAAATTCCACATTGTGGACAAAATAACTAACTAACATAGTCTTCATCAGAATATAAATACTGACTTTTACAGTGCTTCATACATAAAGTTTTATGTCCCTCACTTTTAAATGCATGTTTACTTAAGATGCCAGATGGGTTGAGAGTGCATTTTTGAACTACTGGTTCCAAAAACTTTGGGGTTTTTAAAAGGTATTTCATCCCTGAATAGTGGTATTTCCACCTTCAAGTATACACACTCATGCAAAGA